ACACTATTTTGTATTTGGTAAGCAGAATCTAATTATGCACAAGTAATCAAGGTATTTTCCTATCACCCTTCACTGAATGGTGAAGGGATCGCTGACGTGATTCTCCAGTTTTTTAAAGCTGTGATTTATATACAAAGTTAATTGAGCTATATATGTAATTAAATTGACTTTATTATTTATCCTGCACTCTCTTTACCCAACCATAACAATGTAAGGTTAGAAACCATGGTATTTGATAATGGTAAAAACAAACAAAAAGTATAAATAGAGTTGGCTGATGTACTTGATTTTTGACACCTCAAGAATGATTGGAAACTATGCTGTTCTTTTAAACTTCATGGATGTTTTCCTCAGTCAAGTTTAAACTTAATTATGTTACTGTGAGATTGAAGAAATTCCTCTGCATCATTGTTCAAAAGTCATATCATGTTGCTGTGATTATCAAAATGTGCTCTGTATGCACAAGCATGTGTAGTCAGAATTGCTGAGTTTTCTCTGGAAAAAAAAGTAAACACTTTGTTCAGAACTTTGCGATCCACCCTAGTCAGAATTAAAAAAATAAAAACCTAACATTCATTATCTCTACAGAATGTGCAAACAGTTGCATGAAATACATGTGTGGTTTTTGCTAGAGCTAAATAGAATACGTACTAACTATATAACTTCCATGTATCTAGTATTTTCCCCCCATGGGTAGACCCCATTTGGGGTACTGCATCCAGTTTTGGCCATCAGAGTTCAGAATGGACATGAAAAAGTTCAGAGGAGGCTACCAAGATAGTGAAGGGTTTGGAAACCAAGCCATATGAGGAACGGTTAAAGGATATGTGCATGTCTAACCTAGAGAAAAGACCACTGAGGAGATACGATGGCAGTCTTCAAATGTCTGAAGGGTTGTCCCACCAAAGAGGGAATGGACCTATTTTCTGTTGCTCCAGAGAGCAGGATTAAAATGGATGGGTTAAAATGACACGGGAGGAAGCTCAGGAAGAACTTCCTGACTAAGTGGTCAGCCACTAGGTCAGGCTGTCATATGATGTGACAGTTTCTCCTTCAGTAGAGATTTTGAGGCTGAATGGGTCTGTCTTACGGATGCCTTAATGGAACCTGCACAGGTTAGGCTAGATCAGTGTTTCGCAACCTCAGCAACTTTAAAATGTGTGGACTTCAACTCCCAGAATTCCCCAGTGCTGGCTGGGGAATTCTGGGAGTTGAAGTCCACAGGTATTCAAGATGCCAAGGCTGAGGAACAGTAATTTAGACAAATCCCTGAGTACATTCAGGCAAAGCATTTTTATTTTCTTTTTAACCCCAGTGCTGGCTGGGGAATTCTGGGAGTTGAAGTCCACAGGTATTCAAGATGCCAAGGCTGAGGAACAGTAATTTAGACAAATCCCTGAGTACATTCAGGCAAAGCATTTTTATTTTCTTTTTAACGCTCTTCCTGCGGTGCAGCAAAGAGAAACTCTCTTCGCTGATAGTGGAGATACTTGCAGCTGGATGTTTACATGATGGTCTCCAGAAACTTTTATCAGTCTGGGAAGTGATTCTCACAGTATCCAATCCCACACACACCAAGTAAATATGTACATTTTGTAGAATGATGTTGCGGGTTTCAGCATGTCCTGGAGTGAGGTTCTTGTCACGTGATGAGTCCAAGAAGGACACCCCTGGCCGCTCAATAACAGAGTGAGCTCAGCCTCTTATCCGTACAGGTACACCGGCTCAGAATAAGTACGTAAATGGCATTATCTCTACTCTAAAGTCAGGTATCATTTTACAAGGAATTAATGTTTGAAAAACTCTCGCCTGTTCTAGACTTTGCCACAACGACTTTATGTAAAAAATAAATTTATTTCAGACTAAGAACTGGAAAGTTACATCCATTTCAAAGCTTTGTCAAAAGACTAAAGTCTCACCCATTAACAGTTCTAGTAAGTATCTAATTTCACTTGGCAAAGGCACGCTGAATACATTAATACATACTGGTTCTGTTTTACACAACCTCTTGACAAGAGAAATGACAGAATAGATGAAAAATACATTGGGTGGGGGAGAAACCATTTTGTTTGTTTGTTCGTGAATTTTTCTTGAGGGTTTTTTTTTTTCTTCTGAATTGAAAAACATTGGGATTATGAAACATTTTCTTTTAGGATGATGAACAAAGAATGTGCTCTACCTCCTGGATCTGTCTATCTGTCTTTAAGATCAACAAAAGAATAAAAGAAGCCGAAAAAAAATACAATTTACTACTTTACTGGGAAATGAGCATTCAGGATATATTAAACTCTATTTTAACCACATTGGTATATTTTCCTAATGTATGTAAATGATAATGGAATGATTTCTAATGTGATAATTTGAGGTAGAGTGATTTATGCAATTCTTCTGTATTTATGAATCAACCACTATTACATGTTCAATAAACTATTTCATGAAAAAAACAGTTACACATAATATGTTTTATATTCCATATGACATGATGTAAGAACTGCAAAGGGTGGTAAAATAGTATATTTCTATTTCTTTTGAATTTCCTCCAGAAAAAAAAGGGGGAAATACTTAGTTCTTGCATCCATGTTTCCTGGAAAAGAAAACTGTCATAGCTGGAGATATATGCCAGAAATGATGGGTCTCTACTTCTGGATTTCCACCCTGCAATGTTCCAGGAAATGAACAATAAAGAAGTAATATTAGTTGAATCTCATTCAGTTTGGGCAGGCAAAAGTATTGCTGTAGACCAGTGTTTCTCAACCTTGGCAGCTTGAAGAGGTGTGGACTTCAACCCCCAGAATTGTGCCCTGTGGTTAAAGTTTGTGTAAATTCCTGTAACGTCTCCAACAAATCTTCCTGTTCACAGCTTAGCACAGCTACATACAGTAGGTGTCAATTAATTCTGCCTCCAGTAGTTCAGCTGTGATCTGTTGTCCTCCCGGCCTGAAATTGCTTATCTAAATAATCTCTCCCAAGGACAGGACTGGTTTGTTATCTTTGCAACTTCATTCTGATTTGAAGTGCTGGCAGCATCTTGATGTCGTGACTCCAAAAGTGGGGAGATCCGTGTCGCACAAAATACCCGCCTTGGAAATATTAGGAAAGTGGTCAGCATAGGCTTCATTTTAAAAAGCATATTTGGAATTATAGACTGCTTGAATGTCAGTAGGATTCGCTTACAGCCATTCCACCAAGTGTAAGTCAATTGCGTAGCAATAACATTGAAGTAACAGACTTAGGGAATAACATATTGCTTTCTTTGAACCCCACCGTCCACTGTTGAGTCTATTAAGGGTGATTTGTAGGTAAATCTGATTAGTTTGTAACATACGGTGGTTCTGATTTTGATTTTCAACTCTTGTATCTCAAAAGTTGAAGAGCGGGTATTTTGGGGGTTTGTTCCCTTTTCTCAGATTTAGCTATAGAACCTTTACTTTGGGTTACAACAGCTTGATCGGTTTTGGACTCAGAGCTTTCTGCTTCAGCAAGCTGAGTTAATTTATTGTAAAAGGACCAAGTAAATACATCAAGGGACTCTTTCAATGAGTTCATTTTCACTTTATTTCTGTCAAATAATCACAAATTGATAGAACAGTTGCGCCATCAGTCAGCTTTGCCTAGACGCAAGATCTGTAGTCTTATTTTTAGAAATCTCTTCCTGACAACTTTTTGTAGTAAATGCTGCAACCGAACATGTTGCAGCTACTTCAGAAGAAGCAACTGTTACATCTAAGGAGCCCAGTGAATTTGGTTCCCCGCTGTTGTAAGTGAGGTGGTCCACTACACTTTCTTCTTGTGAGTCCCAACTCAACACATCATACCCATTTGGAGTATATCTGGGGCTTGGTTCATTAGTAATGCTAATGCTGGAGCTGTCATTACTTACATTACGGTCTTCAGCCACCTTTTTAAATTCCATAAGGTCATCAATTTTTCGTTACTTGGGTGGTTTAAGCGACGTCTGCATGCCAGAATTCATTCTTTGTTGTTTCTTCCTCTTTCTCATGCTGTAATCTGTTGACGCTAAAGTATAAACAGTCCTCACCTAGTTTATAGATAAAATAAGCAGTTCTCACTCAGTTTGTTTGGAAATTAGTTGTATACAGTTATGCATAGGAACAGGTAATTTATAGAAGATTAGACTGATAATATAGAAAATAAAAAATTGCCAGAGCACTCTAGTAACTAGATGCTTTCACTTTGCCATCTTTGTCTGATAAGTAAAATGAAGCATAACATTCATTAATAAAATATTTATTGATACCAATTAATATTTATCATTTATGGATTATTGTGCAGCAGATTCACTAGTTCTAATGACAACAGCACCCACTTGTCAATGGGGAGTATATAGTATATTGAGTTCTTCCCAATGTGATGGATTGCTATTATCTGTATTTATCTGTAAAGTGAAGCATATGAGAGCCAGTTTGGTGTAGTGGTTAAGGCACCAGGCTAAAAACTGGGAGACCGTGAGTTCTAGTCCAGCCTAGGCACAAAGCCAGCTGGGTGACGTTGGCCAGTCACTTTTTCTCAGCCCTAGGAAGAAGGCAAGGGCAAACGACTTCTGAAAAACCTTGCCAAGAAAACTGCAGGGACTTGTCCAGGCAGTCTCCAAGAATCAGACACAATTGAACAGATTAAAAAAAAAAAAGTGAAGCATAACAACTTAAGCCTGGCCTTATGAATATACTTTGTTTCTCCAGGGAAGTGACTTGATGCCTGGTGGACAGTTTGATGGAAAAGTCAACCTCATTCAACAGGACTCTTTTGTGGTCTTCTGCAAAAGCTGATCCTGCTTAAGCCATTTGTTGTATAATGGTTGCATAGCATATAAATATGGGATAAGTAACACATGCATCTCAGAAGCCTAGACAACATAGCCAATGTTGAGGGAAGGGAAGTAGCTGTCTGCCATCATTAAACATTGCAAGTGCCCTGATATGGTGAAGGGCCGCTGCAGGCTTTTTTGTATTTCAGGCCTTATGACTCACTTTGTACAACATGCTCAACTGAATCAGTGACAGACTTTTTGGCTTCAATCACAACACAACATGTTAAAGATCTTGGGTTTCTGTGTAAATATGTATGTGTGTGGCTTAACATGTTCAGCACACCAAGTTCCTTTGGTTAATCAGTGGATCAGACTACTTGCACACCCCCAAAAAAGGTTAATTCAGTAGTTAAGTATGTTGTGCAAACTCAGCCCGTCATTCTTCATTATCAGGGCTTATTTGTCTGACTACATAATTGTGTTCAAAGAAGATTCCTTGAAAGGGAAAATTAAATGGATCTATATATCATAATGCAAACAGTATGAAGCAAAAGAAAAACTGTCCTGTATTGATTACTTAAAATAAAATATTGTACATTTTTTAAAAAGCCTGGGAAAGCTCCCCACCCCCATCCCATTCCAAGACCTGAAATATAATTTCACGTTCTTGTGGTTTGAGAGTATTGTGGTTCGAAGGATAAGAAGAATCTTAAGGGTGGTGGTGAACAGCTCAGTAAAAATGTTGATCCAGTGGGCAACATCTATGAAAAATTTTACACTGGGTAATGTTAGGAAATAAACTGAAAATAAAATGGTTAAGGGCCTTTATCTATGCTTCAAACACACTTGGAACACTCTGTTCAGTTCTGGCTATCTCATCTCAAAAAGGGTATTATGAAGCTGAAAAAAGTTTAAATGATTCAGGGTGCTGCAATATCAGGGGGAATTTCTTTGCCTGGAAAAATGTAATGTGGTGATGGCAGGGGACATATCAGAGGTGCAAAAATGATGTCATGGTGAAAAGAAAGTAGATGAGGAACTTCTCTTATAATAGAACAAAACTATCCAGTGAAGCAGAAGATGGGAGACCCAGGACAGATCAATATTTTCCCCACACAAAAGATACTTAAATTATGGAATTTGCTATCACAAGATGTAGCGATGGACACTATTCTAGATGTTTTTAAAACAGCATTGGACACATACTTGAAGGATAAGGCTATCAGGGTCTTTTGATCATGCTAATGCTAGGTTACTTCCAGTATCTAATGCAGTATGCCTTTGGAAGCAGGCTCTCGGGAACATGGGTAGAAGGGTACTGTTGCATTCATATCCTATTCACTGACTTTTTAACAGACACGTGGTTGGCTATTGTAGAAAAGGAATTCTGGAATGGATGGGTC